GTGACCAGCGCTGGGTCTGCTCCATGGAAGCGGTTTTGGGTATCTTACCAGATTGTAGCGAATAGGCAGATCAGTGAGTTCAACAGATCCTTAGTTGGAAAAGCGGCCAGTTGAGTTCCGGCATCTCAGGCTGTTGCAGGCAGGAGGGAGGGCCAGGAAAAGCGGAGATGGAAGTGGATTGTAAGGTTACCCTTAGCCTAACATGCGCCCGCCAGCAGGTCGCAGAAGGTATAAGGGCAGAGCCTTTCCACGTTGGGCGCCAAAATGTTATTCTTTTGTTTAAAAAGAAGAAAAGAGAAATATTGAGACAGACATATTGACTATAAGTTTATTATAAGGACCGGCAGAATGGGGAGACTAAGAGGAGGAACAGGGTAATGGCTGACCGCCATGGCCGGTCGCCATAGAGAGACAGAGCGGGAAAACAGAGAGAGGGGACAGAGAGCAGGAACAGGGGGAGAGAGAGAGAGAGAGAGAGCAGGGGCCTATCTTTTAAAGGGGTCCTCTGCGCCTGCGTACAGACTTCTTTCCCATGGAACCTTGGGCTGACCAGGGTATTGCCTGAGTGGATTCCACCAGGTAACAGGGGCAGGCCAGCATAATGCCTGAACCTTTCAGGCATGCTTTGCAAATCTACAAGCACTAGATCTGCAACAGTGGCTCTTTGAAGTCCTGTGTTCTTTTAAACTTACATATTTATTTACTTTTTTTTGAGACAGGGTTTCTTCCTGTGTAGCTCAGGCTAGCCTGGTATGCACAGGCAGGGTATTTCTGATGGACCGGAGGAATGGCCATCTTCAGGACAGTCATGGACTAATAATATTGTTAGCATTGTTACATAGAAACTACAGTATTTTATGTGGCCCATCTCACAGCCACTCTATGGTGGTATCACCACCATTTTATAGATGAGGGTATTGAGCTTCCAGCCATCATTTATTTCTCTAATGTCTAGAAAGTTGTCAAGAAGTTAGGGTTTAAATCAAGGCAGGTTGGATACACTGTCCAAACTTTTCAGAACGATGCTGAAGAGCCTGTAGTTGCCCATTGTGACTTTAATGTCTAGCATTATGGATCACTGAATATAGCCACTGACTGTTTCAAAACAGCCCCTCTCCTATTCCGTCTCACGTGACCTTCCAGTTAATTATGCCTACAGAAGCAAGTGTCCACAGCCGTAGCTACAGACACTTGCCTATGCAAATATCTTCTTAGCACACTAATAAACTTCCTCTATCCTTTGGGCTTGTTTTGGTGTTTCATTTATTACCCTCTTGGAGATTATTTGATAGCTGTGACTAACCCTCACAGGGTATTTATGATTATTAATCAATAATTAGTTTAGAATAACAATGATGAAATCTGAAAAGGTTTCCTCTGGCTTGTTTGTGATTACAGAGTGTTCTAGTGTAGGTCTGAGTCCCTACGGATTTGACTCAGTGGTAGGGTGAGTCCTCAGCATAGCCAAGGTACTGGACTCAAACTCTCACAACACAACCATCAGTGATTTTTAGAACTGGGTGATGAGCATCAGGTTGTCTCCAATCTTCTGCCAGCTCAGGGCTGCTGCGAACAGCTGGGTTCACCTCGTAAGGTGGTACATCCATTCCTGGTGGTTGAGTTGCTGGGTCAAAGTCAAATGTGTTAGTGTTGTCAGCTGAATCTGTCATTATTTAAAAAAGGCACTGAGACCTTTTAAAAAGGGATATTGCTCTTGGTGATAAAGCAAGAACAACAGACTTGTCAAGGAACTCTGAAGATGGCTCAGTTGGTAAAGCATTTGCCATGAAAGTTTAAAGACCTGAGTTAGATTTCCAGAACCCAAAGTGTAGTGGTACCCAGTATCCCCAAGTTGCAGAAATGGAGACAGGCAGATCCCTGGCCAGCCAGCCTAGCCTACTTGATGAGTTATAGGCCAATGAGATACCCTGCCTTAGGGTTTTTGTTAGTGAGAAGACACATCATGACCACAGCAACTCTTATAAGGAAAACATTTAACTGAGGCTGGCTTATAGCTCAGAGGTTTAGTCCATTATCATCATGGCAGGGAGCATGCAGGCAGACAGGGTGCTGAAGAAGTAGCTGAGAGCTCTACATCTACATCAGCAGACATCAGGAAAGACTGAGTGAGCCACAGGGCCTGACTTGAGCTTCTGAAACCTCAAAGCCCACCCCAGTAACACATTTCCTCCAACAAGACCACGCCTACTTCAACAAAGCCACGCCTCCTAATAAATAGTGCCACTCCCTATGAGCCTATGGAGGCCATTTTTAGTCAAACCATCATAGATCCTGTCTCAAAAAAAAAAAAAACAAGATTAAAAATAAAATAAAAAGGTGATGACTGAGGAATAACACCCAAGATTGTCTTTTTCTGTACACACGCATGTGTATATCCCCCTACATGAACACACACACACTCACAAACACCTGGAAATTGTGTCCAAAGACCTGCATTTCCTCTAGAGTTATGAATAAATGTAGATGTATTCACTATTACACATTGCTGTGATCCTCTGAGTCCATGTTCCTAGAGCCTCCCACTAGTTTCCTGCTTTAGAAATCTAGACTGTTGCTCTAAAGTTTCACATTCTTGCCACTTTTTTACTTAAAACATTCTTCCTATACAGTATTTTCAGAATTTTAAAACATTCTTCCTATACAGAATTTTCAGAATTTTAATAATCTTCTACTACTTGATCACATCAAAAAAATAATAATCCTCCGTTAATTAATCATTTACGTTGTTTTTCAATTCTGCTTTGAGTATCCATGTACACATCACTGTTCAAATTTGCTTTATTTCTTAGTCATTTTTGCCCTAATAATTAGAATAAGTCAAGAGAAAATGTTCTTACCCATATTCTATGGGCTATTGGGATCAATGACTTCAGGTTGGAATAGGCAACCTTAAAAGTGTTTAATAATCACTATTAATTTGCCCTCATAAAGTTGTACATGCTTGTAATTTCAGCACCATTGAGGCAGAGGCAGGAAGATTGGGTGGTGGCACTTGCCTTTAATCCCAGTACGCAGGAGGCAGAGGCAGCTGGATATCTGTGAATTCAAGGCCAGCCTGGTCTACACAGAGAAACTCTGTATAAAAAAAACCCAAAATAAATAAAGTTAAAATAAAATACAGATTGTTCTCCCAGAAGATTGTGCCAATTTATGTTCCAATCACCCTCTCACTTCTTTACCAATACTGAGTTTTACCAGCAAAGGTGATTTGTTTGATTTTTAGATGGAGTCTATGTTGTCCCAGGTGGGCTCGAACTCCAAGCTCAAGAGATCCTCTCGCCTCAGCTTACCAAGTAGCTGGAACTACAGGCAAACACTGACAAGCCTGGCTCTACCAAGTTCTGTTTCTGGTTATACCCATAATGCTTGCTTGTTCTGAAAGTCAACTGAAAATTAGCAAACATTCAAAACAAAAATGCAAATCCTCAGGTAGGGCATGACCCAAATCCTAGCACTTTGGGGGATGAAGCAAAGGGATCATGAGTATGAGGCTAGCCTGGGCCATGTGGATAGACACAATCTCACTAGCAAAACAAAACAGAAAGTAAACTCCCATCATTACACAGTTTTGGTTTAATATCACTGCTTTGCAGCTTTTAAAAATCCAAATATTTTCCATGAAATTGTCACTGACTATGCTTCAAAAACAGGAGTTTCAGGTTTTGCCAAGTCTAAGCTAAAAAAAAAATGAAATCTCATTTTAATTTGTCATATTGGCTGCAAATATTTTTCTCAATCTCTTGATGACTTTTTCGTGTATTTGTGGTGTTCTGAATGCTGATGAGGTCAGATTTAGAATCGATGTTCTTGCACCTTATCGTGGCTCTTAAAAATGTCTTCCAGTGGGGACAGGAGTGTTAAATAACATCGAAAAATGAAGACCTTGGAGCTGGAGCTGACCTCAGCTGACAGAGTTGATGCTTGAAAACCTTGGCTTCAAGCCCCAGTACTGCACAAACCAGACATGGGGCAGCAGTGTCGGAAGTTCAAAGTCATCCTCTGCTACATAGCAACCTACACGCATCTGGTAGACATTATTGTGTGTATGTGGCAGGGAGCACAGATGATTCTCTGACTAGGAAGGAGAGAAGTTAAACATGAGCTGGTGTAGATGCCCAGAGATCTTCAAATGAAGAAAGTGTAGGCAGGGAAGCCTTCCCAGAAGAGGAGGCATCTGAGCTGGACCTGGGTGGCCAGGCTGGCATGGACCATGTGAACATGAGGAAAGAAGATACAGCAGAGGCCATCCTGAGGATGTCACATTCTTTGCAGGACAGGGGCAAGGAGACACTGTGGGGCTTCGGCCAGAACACTTATCCTTAAAATACTGGTAAATATAAGCTTTCTCCGCTTTGCAAAGAGAGCTGGGTTAAAAGAGGCCATTTGAAGGTCTGACCTTCAGTCTCCAAACTGAAGGTTTGGAGGTTTCATTTAATTCATAATCACATTTGGGATAGGAATATAAATCAAAGGGGGACACAGAATGAAGAAATCTGTCCCTTTTGAAGATTTGTCCTTGGGGTAATAGAATTTATATTCCAATAGTACAGGCCAGGACCAGGGTAGCTCTTGCAGCTGGAGGACAGACTTCTGGGCACTCTCCAGGGTCTTATGCAATGAGGACGGGATGCCAGGGTATTTTGGCCAGTGCTGGGCTCACAGGAGGGCAGAGCAAAATGTCAGGGCCCTCAGAACAGTCCATCTAGAAGAATCCTCCCACCTTCTGAGCATTGGATTCTCTGAGTCCATGTTCTGTGGAGCTGGTTCTAGAATCCAGCAGCTCACAACTGCCAGGGAGCTAATGCTCCCTTCTGGCCCCTGTGGAACCCACATACACATGTATACACACAACACACAGTTAAAAAATAAACAAAAACTCTCCTGGCATCATAAGTCAAGCTTTATAATTGTTCTCTTGGGTCAGATCCTCAAATGAGGGATTATTGGTTATGGGTTTGCACTTTGGTCCTCTTTACAACCACTGTGCCACTCTCTGTCCCTATGGATTTGATTTTTCATATTATTTTAAAAATGATTTTATATTTTTAATATTACAAAATTTTAGTTACGTGTATGTGTATATCCTCTCTCTCTCTCTCTCTCTCTCTCTCTCTCTCTCTCTCTCTCTCTCTCTCTCTTTTTGTTTGTGTGTGTGTGTGTGTGTGTGTGTGGGTGTGTGTTTGTGTGTGTGTGTGTGCATGTGTGTGTATGCTCTCTGAGTCCAGAAGAGGGCATTAGATCCCTAGAGATTTATAGGTGATATGAACCACCCGTCATGGATGTTGGAACCGAAACTCAGGTCTTCTGGAAGAACAGCAAATGTTCTTAACCACTGAGCTATCTCTTCAACCCTTGAATTTGTTTATTCTGGACAATTTATATAAATGAAACCATGTGACCTTTTGTAACTGGATTCTTTCACTTAATGTTTTTTAAATTAATTAATTAATTTTGAGTTGTGTGTGTGGTGTACATGCATGTGTGTGCAAGAATGGAGGCCAGGAGGAGGATGTCAAGTGTATAGTCTCTGCCATAGTCCCTTTTGACAAGGTCTTTTACTGAACCTGGAGCTAGGCTGGCAACCATTAAGTCCAGTAATCCTCCTGTCTCTGCACCCACACAGAGCTGGGGATATAGGTACATAACCCTAGCTTTTTACATTGGTGTTGGGGACTAGAACTCAGGTCTACATGTTTGGGTAGCAAGCACTCTTACCCACTAGGCCATCTTCCATTGATAACAATTTTAAGGTCAGTCCATATAATATGTGTCAGCATTCTATTGCTCTTAACAACCAGGTAATGACCCTCGGCTGAGTAGACACCCTGCATCTTATTTACTAATTCACCAACTGGAGGATGGGTAGGCTGTTTTCATTTGGGGGGGGGCTATTACAAAGCATCTTGCTATGAACATCTTGTGTGTGTGTGTGTGTGTGTGTGTGTGTGTGTGTGTGTGTGATAGTGTAAGGAACGCAGAGGGGAGAACTTTCTCCTGGATGAGAAGTAGGGAGTGATGCTCAGAAAGGAAAGGACAGCTCTCAGACCTGTGAGCTCCTATGCTTCCGGATGATGCTGAGCCAAGTCAAAAGCAGAATTCCTACAAGCTAGTTGTAATAAAACACAACATAGACTGGGTGCAAGCAACAAACTGTGGAAGGCCTAGGGATTTAGAATGTGTTTCTCCAGACTTTCCTGTTCATGTTCCGGAGGGTTTTATGGTGGCTCGTAAGCAGCGTGTGTTTTGTTTAGAAACCTGACTTCTGGCCTTGATCTCTAGCATTTCCACACCTCCACAGCCTGCCAGGCCAGCCTCTCTCTACACTCTCCGTGAAATCTAAGACCAGAGTTCCTTCCCACAGTGCCAGGGTCCTAGGCCAGAGTGATGTCATACTGGGGACACAGCCCAGCAGCTGCTCTGCTCCAGGCAGTACCCTTCCCACTAGGCTCGTCTCATTTTGTTTTCTCCTGGGAATGTCCTGTGTATTTTATCTCATGTTTCCTCTCCTTTTCACTGTTTTATCAGCTGTCCAATTTGGTTAAAGAAGTACAAGGAAATGAGATAGTATTATGGACAAATAGGAGAATAGAGATCTGGGGTTGACAGACAGTATAATTGATTAGGTTTCATTTGGTCTTTGGGGGAAATGGATTTCCAGCCATACAAGGTTCTATGTCAGAATCATTTGTACACTTCAGAACCAATAGCCTATTGGATAAAGCAAAAGGGGCGATTCTCAGGACATTGGGTTTTGGTGACCTAGCTTCTGCATCTGGAGACACTTCCAACTCTACGATGGAGATCACCTCCCATATCTCACCTTACAGATGCTGAAATGTCAGTGACTGTATTTTCAGCATCCATTACAGATACTCGAGTGCTGATGACAAATGCCTGTCCCCAAATTCTGACCAGAACTCAGAGGTGACAAGAAGCAGGAGCTGTGGCAGCTGTTTACAGTAAGAGGGCAGATTTGGGACATTTAGCCATGTCTACAATAGGGTCAGCCTGGAGGTATCTGTGGTCCACACTAAATACTTTGTTTAGGGGCAGTGACATGGGTTTCTGGCTCAGGAACAGGTCTGGTATTGTTCCTGGATACACCACTCTAGAAGTTCCTTCAGGGACACACCATTTAGTTAGTCGAGGTGGAGGGGAGACAAGTTCCTCATGTTATTGGCAATTGTCTGACTGGCATGGAATGACGGGATGCACTCTAAAGTTGCCAGGAATGATCTAAAAACCGGCAGACACTGCTGGGACTGTGGACATGCTGTGGTCAACTAGCAGTTCTGAAAGATTGGCAAGTGCCAATCAAGCAAGTCCTCCAAAACTCCTTCTATCAAGGCTGGGCATGGTGGCACAATGGCACTTGGGAAGTTGAAGCAGGAGAATTGCAACTCATTCAAACTACATGAAAAAACAATGAAGACAGGGCTGGAGAGATGGCTCAGCTGTTAAGATCACAGGCTACTCTTGCAGAGGACCTGGGTTTGATTCCTAGCACCTATATGGCTACTCACAACCATCTATTACTCCAGATTCAAGATCTAATGCCCTCTTCTAGCCTCCTTGGGCACCAGGCATTTATGTGGTACACAAACAAACATACAGGCAAACATTCACACGTCTTAAAAAAATAAATCTTTGAAACAAACAAGCAAGCAAGCAATTGAGGGGCTGGGGAAACTACTCAGTGGAAAAAGCATCAGCCATGCAAATGATTGGAGTTTGGCTCTTCAGAAGCTACTCAATGCCAGGTTGACATGGTGGCCTGTCTATAATTCCAGTGCTGAGAAGACAAGAGACAGGGGATCCCCAGAGCAAGCTGGATTGCCAGACTATCTGTCTCGTGATCTCTGGGTTCAACTGAGAGACTCCGTCTCAGTGAAGAAGGTGGAGAATGATTGAGAAAGACTCCTGCAGACAATTTCAAGCTCAGACCTCCACATGTACAAGTATGCAAACATGTACACATGCACATAGGCATCTACTCACATGGGTGTGCCCACATACGAGTGAACATGTATATATTCATGCATATCACACAAATACATATAGCAAACAAACAAAACAAACTTCATGTGTGCAGGGGGTGGGGGAGTAGCTTTTCATTAGCAAAATGGATGGTATTTCCAGCTGGGGCAAAAGGTCTAAATTCTCTAGGCCAGAAAGCCCTCCAGCACTGATGAGTCATCTGTGGGTTCCAGGACAGCTTGGATTATGACACAGTACCTCTTACATCTATGGGAAGCTATCACCTTGCATAGCTCTGTGCTCTGGGACAGCATTCACAATGTTGTCTATGACAAACAGAGATGGCAAGGCTGAGGCTGACCATGGGACCACTTGTCTGGGATGGAGTCTTTAACTTGGACCAGGCAGGGGTGGGGTGGTATTCATGGTGTGAACTGAACTGAGTCCTTTGGAAGGGCAGAAAGAGGTCTTAACCACTGAGCCATCTCTCCACCCCTACAAGGGGGCATTTTGATAACGAGATTTGGCTACCAACACCATTTTTACATGAATAGATTTACATGTAAATGAGAATGGCACAAGACCTCCAAGTCTTCCTCAAAAGTGAGGAAGCCAGAAAATCTGTGCTGGAACCAAGGCCACCATTTGGGAGTCTCATTCTGAATGTGACTATGGAAGGAGAGGAATCTTTCCCAAGGGCAGGACTGGACTATCAGGTGCTATTCAAGGGACTGGCCACTGCCAGATAGAGAGCTCCGCTCTTTTTGTGTGGTGACGGGACCTGACAATGTGGGATAGTATTTCCAGGCTGTTTGCTCATCCATGTTTTCATTGGCTGCTTCTGTGTCTACTTCACAGCTCTGTAAAAACTATGTGAGAAGAACTTATCATTAGTACTTAAGTCATCAGGACATAAAACCAAACAAAAATCCACACACATCACAAGTAGATGGAGAGCCACTCCTAAGTAACTTTCTTTTAGTCATATGACATGATGACATTTGGTTTGTGTTGTTCTCATGGGGAGAAGAGTGACTACATGGGGCCAAAGCAGTTCACTGTCCCTCAAATTCTTTCTCAGAAATAGACCACCTGAATTTTACTTAGGAATACTGTTTTCTTTTCTTTTTGACAGGGTCTCAACCATCTCTGGCTAGCCTGGAACTCATTATGTAGACCATGTTGGTATTGGATTCATAGAGATCTGTTTACCTCTGCCTCCTGAGTGCTGGGATTAAAGACATGTGCCACCACACCCGCCCAGTCTTTAAAACTTTTTTTTCTAACATTTATGTACTATGTGGGTGAGTATGTGTGGTGGGGAGGGGGTCAGGAAAACATGCAGGGTTCTCTTCTTCCACTACATACATAGGATCTAGGGATGGAACTCAGGTCATCAGGCTTGACAGGGAGTCTCATGTCAAGGCAGCCTTGAACTTGCTATGTAACGAAGGGACCTTGAACTCCTAATCCTCCTGCTTCTATTTCCTGAATTGAACCCAGGGCTGTGCATGCTATGCAAATACTCTATCAACTGAACTACATCCCTAGCCCCAGCATATGGTTTCTTGGCATTAAAACTACCCCCTTGAAGGATATATAGCCCTGGGATTAAGGACATAGGTCTTGCTTTTCTCTTCTCCTTCCTGTTATGCTGTCTGGCACCTGAATGTGTCTGAACATCAAGGTAGAAGCTGCATTCTGAGGCTGGGAGAGCAGATAGGAGAGCAAGTTGGGGGTACCTGGGACCCTGTTGATCACAGAGCCACTCAGCAACCCTGCAGGATGAAGGGTAGTGCTTTCTGCAAGCTATTGCTTTCACAATAGTAGAATGCAATTATGGACTAAAATTGGCCACCCAACATGAATGCTAAGGCCAAATACTGTATGAGAAATCATAACCAGAGGGAGGGTGAGATGGAGAGACAGCATTTGAGTTGATAGGGGCAGGGGCAGAAATCAGACAGACAAATAAAAATGTTGACAGACAGTAAGTGTTGCATAGCTTGAATGCTTTTATATTGATCAAACTGTTTTTCAGTAGAGTCCCCGACAATAAAGTCAGAATGAAAAACATTCCAAATTTACAGAAAAACATATTGCTGATTGACTAAGATACTTTACAAAACATGGCTTAGCACAATCCTTTGGTTGCCCCAGTGGTATAAGAGTGATCAAGATAGTGACATAGCTGGTATCAGTCTCCGGAGGTTTGATTTCCCCAGGCTGAGGTCACCAGAGCTTTGCCATCTTTACTAGGTCTTCTCTAGGATGACAGCCAAGAACGAGGAGGGTGGCAATCTTTATCTTCGTAATTCCACAGTGACAAGGGCTGAGACAACCTCTTGGGGTCAAGTCGCAGAAACCGAGTATGTTTCTCTAGGTCAGTTCTTCAGATTTGGTTAAGGTTAAATTGTTTCCCTGAAATCTAACTGTGAGCTCATCTAGTCCACCTGATCATCAGTCCCTTTCAACAAAAACAAACACCTAAACACACAATTATCTGAGAACTGAGGGTAAAGCATCTCTATAAGCCTAGGTCTGGACTAGGTCATGGCTCTTACAGTTTTTCCCTGTGGATACTGTCTTGGTTGCCTTGGGAGGATGAAGAGGCTACTTACTGCCCCCAAATGAAAAAGTTTAAGGATGGGGGAGGGGGTAGATCAACCAGGAACACAGCTGTGAGAGACTCTACACTAGTCTCAAAGCATATTTAGATAACAATGACTGTGGGAGGAAACTAAAAATACTGCTACAAGTTTGAGATTCATCCTCCCTGTCTCCCAACCCCTAAACAAACTTAATTTTTCTCATCATGTGTGGATTTTAGAGTGATGTCAGCAGGGGACCCATCTGGATGAAGCCAGCACATTGGGGTGTCTACTCTGATCTTCTGGAAGGTGCTAGAATGTAGACTATAAATATCTTCTCCATTCACATCCAGCCAAATTTCCCAGGCAAAATATTTAGCTTAATTCTGATGCAGTTCTTAGGATGAAACATGGTTTCTTAAGAGCAACTGTGGAAGTGTGGGATGCAGGGAAACAGGAGCTCAGAGCTTCGGTTTCTAATTGGTGATGGTGACCCTGTTTACTTGGGTGTTCTGCTCCTTGAGATCATCTTCTTGTCGTCCTTCCCAGGATTGCATGGACTTTGCTGCTGGCAATGTCTGCTGTGTCTGAACTGCTGGCCCCACACAATGGCAGAGAGGCCAGCTGCAGCCTTTTCAAGCGTCACGAAATATTATGTAAGTGTAACAGCAGCATTTTCATGACCACATTCAACAGCTTGTTTCCAGAAAATAATAAAACAATCTCCAAGGACATTTAGACTTTGCAAGTGCTTTGCACACACGGTGGTGACAAACATTTCTATAAAACAATAATTTGCTAAGCAGCCTGATACCCCTGAAATGTACCCAGCATTCTCTGTTCCTCTTTTTGGTGCTTTGCAGAGGGCATTGTCAGAATCTAGGTTGCATAAAGGTACCGGTCCTCTGTCTTCTGGGCTTTTGCCCTCTGGAACACTGCTCTAGGAAAACCCAGTGGGCTCCACATTTTTGGTGCATTTTGGGGCCAACCACAGAGAAGACAGCCTTCCTACGTCTTCAGTAGCTTTGGTTTACATATTCCAGTGGCCGGAAATTCATTTCTATAGTATGATCTCATTCTGCCTTCAAGTTCCAAGTGTTGTTTCTCTTTATTTTTTACAGAAGAAAATACAGTCACAGATCCCAGGTTCCTAGGCTGAGGGCTACTTGGTGTTGAGTGGTCTGGAGAACCATTCTAGTTTCTTATTACACAGGGTGCTGGGCATTCACTCTACCACTCTCATCACTGAGCAGTAAGATGTGCGTGGGTGAAAGACAGGCAGGAGGGAAATAGATGGAGATACTGAAGCTACAGACAGATAAGGAACGCCTGGAAACCTGCGCTCTTCTGCAGAGGTCCTTACCCATCTTGTAACTAGGAAATGCTTTAACTGCTTCAGTGTCTGCTAAGTATCACTGTACCTTCATCTACTTACATGACATCACGAAGTGCCCTTCTCCCATAAGCACCACTAAGAAACCTGCTAACACTTTTTCTGGATACACAAAAGCCGCTATTTAAAAATACCACCTTAAAGCATTCATGTAATTTATTTTTCCTTAAATAATAACTCGCTACAATCCTGCCACAAGTTAAATTTTTTTTTTTACCATGGTATTCACAGAGAAGAATTCTCAAAGACAATCAAAATCCCAGAGTACTTAGAATAAATTAACATCAACTTGTGTTTATATTCAGATAGTCTAATTCTCTCCTCTGAAATGAAATGGAGACCACTGTAACCAAGGGTGAATGCACACATCTGTCCTTCTGTACAGAGGCTTATTCTTTACATAAACTCAATAGTAATTAGAGTCAAGTTAGGAACCCTGAAAAACACATCACACACACACACACACACACACACACACACACACACACACACACACACACACACACACACACCACCCTCGAGAATCGGTGTTTCTTATGGTCACTTACTAGAAGGTCTTTTCTCAGAAGGGTTCAAAATTCTGAGTATTTGGATGCTACCATCCCCCCCTCCAACCCCCAGGAAAATCGTCTTGTTTCAAGTGTGAGAGCTTGAAGTAGCAGCAATCCACATAGAGATTCAGTAGTCAGCGATTCCAGTCATGGCGGCTGAGTATACAGTAAGGGGTGAGCAGAGGCTTGGCTGCTTCTAAAGCTAAGACTCAACATCACGCAGCACAGAGTCTGGTTCCCAGACTCGGCTGAGAAGTCACCTGAACATACATTATGAAACAGGTTCAGGCACTGGCTGTGATCCTGAAGAGAGGAATTCGGGGGTAGGGGAAATGGGTGCTTTGGAACATGAGTGCAGAAGGGGTGGAGATGAGGCAGAGGGAGGGAGGGCAGAATAGACCCTATTCATCCTCCAGCCTGAAGTCCCTTGTGCCCTGCCTGTGGTACATTCATCTGAGTTTTCCCTGGTGTCAGGAGTAATGGATACCAATTGCCGAAGAAGTTCGGCCCTTGGAGTCAGTCCCACACAGATCAACACACAAACACCTGAGCAACCACAAGTAGCCACATTGTCTGGCTCCTGGTGAGAGTAGAGTCAACAGTACTGCTGGCGGCCCCTCTCATTGCCCGAGGATGGCTGACGGGGTGGCGATATTGAGGGAGAAACACAGTTCCCAGTTGGAGATCCCCTGTTGCTTATCTCTCTGGGCCCAAAGACGTCATAGCGGCATGCATATCTACATCAGCAGTTCCTATGTACAGGATACCTTTTCCACAGAAATTTAAATTTAAAGTGCCTAGGTTCAAATAAGCTCATCCCTTCCCACAGTGACCAGCATCTCTGGGGGCCTCTAGGGGAACAAGGAATGAACACTTCACAGTTGTCCTAACTGGGATCCAGCCTCTGGATTAAGCCTTCTTCGTACACTCGAAGAATCGCTTCACATACAAACTTGTATTGGCTCTGGAAGAGAAAAGAAAGCTGTCAAGTCCATAGCACCAAGAGTGTTGCCTCATGCCATGCTTGAGAGTGTCTCTGGGACATTTATATTATATTCTCTCCCCGTGTGCTAACTCTGGGCCTTGCGCTGGGGAAGAGTGAGGTGAACTCAAGTCTTCACAGACTGGGGAGGGGAGCTGCCCTCAGAAGTGTGGGCGGAGGAAAGAAGGGAGGTAATGGGAGCTGAGTACCGGCATTCATCTTTCTCTGATTACTAAATATAGCTTCTATAGTTCCTGTTGCCATGCCTTCCTTAGCATGATAGACTGTCCCTCAAGTTATGAGGACAAATAAACCCTTCCTCTCATGCTTTGTTAGGCGCTTGGCCACAGTAATGAGTAAAGTAACTAATATAAGGACGACACTGATGTGGAAGCCCTGTGACAAGAAAAGTCTGTTCTGAGAAGTATATGAGAGGACCCACTGTGTGACCTGGAATATCTGGGCATGTCTAGGGGCTGGGAGATGGGTGATGAAGGATAGGGACACAAGTAGGCTGGGTGTGGAACAAGGAATCTCTAGTCCCTTTTTCTTAAGAGAGTAGGGAAAGATGCTGATTATTAGATAGACCTTCAGTAACCATGGGGCATTAATTTTAGAACTCCCTATGGACACCCAAACCCTCAGGTACTCCAATCTTTTATATAGAATGCTACAGTATTTGTTTATAGCCTATGAGCATCCTCCACACACCATCCTTTTTGGCAGGATATGGTGGTACATCCACCGGGCAATAGAGGCAGGTAGATCTCTGAGTTCTAGGCCAATGGTCTACATAGTAAGTCTGAAACAACCCCCACTCAAATAGCACCAAAACCCAAAAGCAAAGCAAAAATTACCTCTTGATATTTCTAATATCTTATACAGTGGGAAGAGTTATACTGTATTTTGTAGGGAATAAAACAGAAAAGTCTTTTATATGTTTATGCAGAAACATCTTCTTTGCTGTAATTTAATTTGTGACCACTTGAATCCTTGTATGTGGAGTCACAGATACTGAAGGCTAACAAGATCTTGCTAAGTTGTCCAGGTAGGTCTTAAGATTGTAACCCTCAGGCCTCCACCTCTAGACTAGCTGTGATTAGAGTCTTGCACCACCAGGCCTGGCTGGGAGTATTCTGTGATTTAAACCACCATTTATTTAGTCTTCCAAACTTCAAAACAGGGAAGATGATGACCTTCAGTAGATGATTTTTTTTTCTTTTCCTTGGTTATTTATGTGGCAGTGGGAGGACAGCTTGCCTGTCAGGAGAGCCCACTCAGAGTGGTAACAAGCATGCTTACCTACTAAGTTATCTCTATGGCTGAGCTGGGTTTTCTCAACTGTATTTCCCAGGTATAAACTAAGGACTCACAATCTATTAGGGCAATCTTACAACATCTGTTCAGCAGCCTGTGGCTGCTCGGAGCTGGTTAGAACACAGAGTTCCTGCTCTTTGCTTTGCTAACCAAGTCCTCTTAACCACTCTGGAAGTTTAGTCAGGAGGTTGCGTCCCTGTTTTTGACATTCTGAATATTCTTCTACAAGATTCTTGGATACCCCTGGGGCTTTGCCCATCATGGCTGAGATTAGAAACTAAGCCAGTTCTACTCAACCCAAGCTTGGACAACTCTGGTGAATGAATGATCAAAGGCAGGATAGCTCCCATCTGCAAGACGGGGAAACTGAGGCCTACAGGTTCAGGGGATCACCAAAGGTTGTCAGTGTGGGAAGAGGAGGCCTGAATCATACTCTTTCTACACTAACCATACCCTTTTCTTCTTGCAGCTCAAAATGACAAGCAGATATTTCCTCCTAAGGACCCTGGCATGACACAGTAGGAGACAGCCCATGGTGAGGAAATGCAAGTGACTTTGCTTACGTCTGGTGGGTGATGATGGGGTGCAAACAGGGCTGCCCTTGGGCTGAGTGACAAATAGGATACACCAGAGGTAAACAGAATGCATGTAGATGGGCCTGTGTTCTGTAGTCACTGTGTCTCTGACAAGCTGTGTGACTCTAGGCACTGACTCAGTTCCCTTGTACCTCATTCTATTCACAATGCCCCTGGCTATAGACACTCCTGTGTGAACTCAGGAAATGTGGATCTCTGCCTTTTTGTCATTGTAGTTGTTTAAAATATTTTATTAGTAGTTGTTTAGACAGGGTCTCAGTATGTAGCCCTGACTGGCCTGGAATGCTTTATATAGACCAAGCTGGCCTCATATTCAGAGATCTATCTGCCACTGTCTTCTGTGTTGGGAAGTAAAGTTCCTAGCCAACCTCCACCACTTTTCTCATTACTACTTTTTTCTATTACTGAGTTTCTACTTACTGATGTTTGTACCATCATGGCACGCTGGTCTCTCATTTTCCGGACAATATCCAATGGGTAAACAGGCAGGTTCCTCTCAATTAAGCACATGGCGGTTTCCATAGTGACCAACACACCTGTCCGCCCTATTCCAGCACTAGGGAGGAGAGAGAGACAGAGACTCAGGATCGACTTGGGCATCATTTTTACAAGGCCGAGCTGAACCACCTCACCATGGCCTGCCCTAGGGCGAGTCCTGATGCTGATTTCAAGATCAGAAAGCACACATTCAGGTGTAATCTTAAGCGTTTCAAAAGAAAAAGCCCATCCCCACAGGTCCTAAGGCTGGGACTTAACAAGAAACCCATCCATGAAGCACAAAAATCCACTCCTTCTCTGAGTCGTGCTTGCTGTCAAGGTCAGAAACTTCAGGACAGGGAAGTGTGAAGGAGTTTTCCTTTCAGCATCCAGCTGCACTTGCATGATTATGACTACATTACATTTTAAGTATTTAGAAACTGTTAGGAAATAAGCATAGTTTTACAGGACAATGTGACTTTGTGGGGTAAGGGTTGGTTTGGTATCTGCCTATTTCTCCTGGCCTTTCCCAAGGGGTAGAAGCATTTAAAACAGAAAGCAGTAAGGCTTAGTACCTGCAGTGAACTAGGGCAGGCTCACCGTCTACCCTCAGGGACCTCACGTACTTCACAAACTCCAAGAAGTCTGAGGAGTCATCAGGCACGCCGTGGTCAGGCCACGCAACGTACTGGAGATGGGTCACTGTGTGTTCTTCCCCGGTCTGTGGAAGATGTGGCCTCGGTGAGTCATCAAAGCAATGAGCCCAGCCTTGGACACCAGCCATGGTGGCCTTAGCCTCAGTGTCTTCTTGTGCCCAGCTCTGCTATGGTCTCAGTCAATTACCATCAAGCTCCCACTTTCCCAAAACTTCATTCTTTTCCCCAAGACACTGCTTTCTTGACCTCTTGTGCCTCCAGCTATTTTTTCTACCTGCTCCTATGCACCCTGCAGTCAGGGTCACCCATACCGCCTCTATATACATGTACATACTTTTGTCTGGTGTTGAGGCCTTCTTGCTCATGACAATCAGGGTCCCCTACTATCATGTGGCTAAATACACCTTCCATTGCTGACCTCTACCCCCAATACACATACAATACAGTGAAGCTTAACTAATTTTAGACGTAAGGTCTACTGGCATTAAGCATACAATGTCGGGCAATCATCACTACTATCTCCTTCCAGAACATTCATTGTCACCCGAATATGACCTCTTGTAGCCATTTTCTTCCCCTTCTTCTAACCAGGGCAAACACCATTCTCCTCTCTGTGCCTGTGAGGTTATTATTTTAGGTATCTGGATTAACATAATCTTAGCACTTACCCTCTTGACTGGCTTCTTTCATTTGGCATGTCTTTCAGACTCATCCCACAGTGGCATTTGCCCAAAATGCCCTCCTTTTTTGAGGTTGAATACTACTACACAGCTAGGCCTAGTTTGTTTATCCACACATCTCCTTATGGGCAGACCCCAGGGCTGCCTCTCCCTCTTGGCTATTGTGAATGGCAGAGCTACACACGTGGGGCACTGGCTCTCTGACCAGCCGGTGACACTGCAGCAGAGCCGAACATGAAAGCTCACAGGGGCTACTGACTGTGCCTGCCCCTCCACCCTGCTCCTCCCAGACCTGCTCACCTCAGTATTTGTAACTAGCATTTCTCGGGACACATAAGCAATGGTACAGTCCTCTGCCTGACACTGGATATGAAAGATGCCGTGGTCCATGACGTCAGGGGGATCTGGCCAGTACTGGTGACATTTGGTCTGTAACAAACCAGAGACAAGTCAGGCTTTTCTGTAGGGCATAACCAGGGTAGTTAACTGCACGGCATCCAGTCACATCTGTTCAAGGAGAAGTGACAGGAGAGAAGAAACTCAGATGAGACCCACTTGTGGCCATGGCCTGAAGAAGGCAGTCAATTTACCTTCAGGGTTTGTTCACTGGGAGAGCAAACGGGTCTGGGCATTGGGGCTATCTATACTCTGCCCAGGCTGACCCAGGTTCCTTGGGTCTCTTTTCTGCTCTCAGCAGCCTTGGGACTCAGCAGTTAAGAGCTCATTGGCATTAGACAGGGCCCTAAGGGAAGAATTTCCTCTCTTCTTGTTGGCCATTTGACTTCCAACAGTCGACCTCTTTGAATTTCAGGTTTTCACACACTGACAGAGGCCAGAGAGGCTGCAGTGTGGAGTCCCTTGTGGGTGAGGTCAAAGGCAGCCATCAATACCATTGTTATGGAAGCTACAGTAACTGAGTTAGGTCTGTCAGGTTTCTCAAAGCCCTCATTTAAAAAACCTCCAAGCTGAGACAACTATCCTTTTTCATGTGAACAGTGCCTCCTCCAACCACAAATACCTTCACAGGAAATAGGGTCTGGGACCACAGAGGGTACAGACTTTGCACTTGCCCCTCTGAGGGTGGTGAATGGCTCAGTGGGTAAAAGCACTTGTTGTGTAAGTGTGTAAGCCTGGTGATGTGTTCAGTGCCCTCCCCCCCCCCCCCCCCCCCCCACCACCAATAATATCACAAGAGTCTGACACGATTTTAATTCGGGGATGAGGGAGGGAGTATCTATTTGCTCTTGCACGGTGGGTTGGAAATCAAGCTTTTCGCATTAAAATGCGTTTGGAGGTGCTAAAGGCGAGGGGATGCTCAGGCCCTGGACATCACGGGGATGTGGACAGGCTGTCACCTGGGTGGAGCCCCCGGGGCTGGGCTGGGGGGCGAGGCCCC